GGGTCAGGCACCTTGTCTGATTTGCATTGGTATCTCCAACATCTTGTTGAACTCCACACAGAATTACTGAATGAACCAGTGAGGAGACGGAATGAGATGGTTTGAGAGAGAGACACATACGTCTATTTCCTCACCCCCTACAGTCCCGGCTTGTGCAGTGCCCAGTGCCCTTTACCTTACTTACCCCATCTCCTTGTCACTGTAGCAATAGTCATGAACAACTCATTCTGTCCCCTGCCCCCACATTTCCATCGGGTCAGACTGTGTCCATTTTGCCAAGAGAGAATACTGGCATTCAGCCCCTTGGGGAACTGCCCTCGGATCCATGCGCCGTGGATAACAAGCAGCACAAGCCTGATTTCTCGTCTTCGTTTCCCTGAATCTGGTCAACTAGTACCAACCAGTTTCCTCCACAATAAATTGGTGATGTCTTCCAAGAAAAAAGGTAGCTTTTTTTCCTCCCTATTTTATCTCTTCATATGCATTGTTATAAATCCTTTAAAACGAGAATGACGGCAAAAAGCATGCCGGCGTTCTGTCATACCGTACTCGTCCCACCGCCACGCAAGTAAGTGTACGCGCACATTCCGAAGCTACTTGAGAACCTCTGTCCGCATGCGCCCTCACGCACGGGCGCATGCACGCGCGCGCACGCACACACACGCACGCACATGCACGCACGTTCCTTATTTGAAAACAGAAACTCAGGGCAACCCGTTTTGCTGTGTGATGGCTTCGAAACAATTTCTCTTTCATCTTTGCTCTAAAAGAGAGCGAAGGCAAAAGGGCATGCGAAATCTTGTAAACAAATGAGCTAAAATAAAGGACCAGAGTCCTTGTATGTTTTATTTTTAAGCATTTCAAGAGCATAATACAGCACCTGAGCTGGACTATGTGCTAAGTATCTGATGAGACAGAACGAATAAATTCATGAAGGAAGGAGCGCAACACCGTTCTTGATGGGGAAGCCGTCACCTTTTTGTATAATATACCTTTTAAGGCAAATCCAGGCTGGGCAACCACTCATTTGCCCAGTGGGCTTGCAGAATATTTACGCTGGAAAGCAGGGTGTGACCAGGAGTGAGGAATCATGGGCCAAAGTTCTAAGACAAGATGTCAGACTTGGAAAATTCAGATGGGGACAAAGAGCCAAAATAAATGAGTTGTAAAGACTGGAACTGAGTCAGAGATAGTGGGAAAAACTTAAATGGTAGCAAAAAAAACTAGCCAACCAAAAGCAACCCTGATTTGAAATACCCTTTCCTGGCCGTAATGGCAAATAAAGGATATTCCTAAAAATTATTTGTCTAGTATGTATACGACTTATTTTTTCCCCAGTGAACATTAAGTCATTGTTACTACGTATTTTGTGGTCCAAATAAATCACTTTTTAAAAAATGGAGATGAAAACTAAATATTGAATATTTTATGTACCACTTCACGGCATTTAGTAGAATTCAGTTGGATCACTGGAATTGGGAAATTGAGCATACAGTACAGACACTGAAAAAAATCCTAATTCTTTACATAATATTAAATATCATCCATAAACCCTCATACCCTGGACTTGGAGTGGGGGGGGAGGGGTACAAAATCAGCAAATAAGTCTCTCACTTTAGCTTAGGCTTTTCTGAAGAGTGGTATTTTATGTTCAAATTTTGTTTCCTCTTAGTGCTTCAACCCACTCCCTTCTTTCCAAGGTGGCATGTGGGTAAAGGGAAAGCCATCTGTGTTGCCAGATCCTCCCCTCTCCTCCTCTCCTCCCACCATCTTCACCCTACTTACCCTTTGCCCTCAATCTCAGCCAGCCTTCCAACTGGGCCCTGAACTTGGATGGTGCTGCTACACTCTGCTATGGGGTCACAGCTCACTCTGTCACAGTGGTTCTATAGTGAACCATTTGGCACCATACTCTCAACTCTGTGCCTCATTTCCCCTCAGGAAGCAGATGGAAACTTCCAGACTCTCCTGATGTCACCCAGTCATGGAAACCTGAGTGAGCTTTCACAGGTCTCTCCCTCTGCCTATGTCACTATACAGTCACCCCTTGACTATGGTTCAAAGTTTAAGTAGGCTATTTCAGGGTTCATATAATCACTTTTTAATTAGTTTAAGGGGAAAACATGTAAATTCAGAGCTGTATTACCTCCAAGTTTTGATCACTTATATTCCCAGCACAAATCAAATTCTAGCACATAGTAGATCCTCAACAAGTATCTGATGAGTCAGGGGAATGAGGAGAAATCTTGACTATACAGTTGGCCAATAATGACAGCAAAATAGAGATCTAGAGAGATCTCTGACCAATTCTTGAGAAATCTGTGGATATAGGAGTAGGTAGAGCCAGTATTATCCCTGGACTTTGTAGACACTAATGTAGGAGTTGAATTTCTGTCATTTGCAACCAAACAATTAATAAAAAAGCATAACCCTAACATAACTTACACTAATAAATCTTAAAATATAGATTGAAGTCATGATTTGTAAGGAAAATATAATTTACCAATATTGGCTTGAGAAGAGACAGAAAATCGAATTAGTTCAGTAACCATAGAAAAAAACTAAATAGGAAAAAATCTCAATAAAGACTTTGTGCAAGATTTTTCTCCCTTCGATTAAGCAAGTTTTTAAAAAATATCAAGGATAGGGGCACCTGGCTGGCTCAGTCAGTAGAGCATGTGACTCAATCTCGGGGTCATGAGTTTGAGCCTGATGGGTATAAAGATTTAAAAAAAAAAATCAAGGATAGATAACTCTATGAAACAGAAAAAAATGAACAGTTTCATCTTACTTATAAACAGTTCTATCCCAAGAATTAAAAAATGACTTAATATTACAAATCTTTTAACAAAATTCACTAAATTATACCAATTAAAGCAGATACTGATCCTCCAATATATGCTGAAAAATCACCTAATAAAATTTCATACTTACTTTCTAGTTTAATTTTAAGTATCTTTTTTTTTAAGATTTTATTTTTGAGAGAGAGCACAGCAGGGGAAGCAGTAGGCAGAGGAAGAAGCAGGCTCCCTGCTTAGCAAGGAGCCCAATGTGGGACCCGACACCAGGACCCTGGGATCATGACCTGAGGCGAAGGCAAACACCTAACTGACTGAGCCACCCAGGTGCCCCTCTGGTTTAATTTTTTAAGTAGAAAATTAGTAAGATAGAATTTAACAAAGGATATCTACCAGAAATTCAGAGCATATGTTATCCTTAAAGGTGGAACATTAAAAGCATTTTCACTGAAGTCTGTAGCAAATACTTGTTACACGTTGCTAGTATTCAACATTCTGTGCCAGACCATAGCTAAAGCAATCCTAAGAACAATTAAATAAAACATGAATATTGTATAGGAAATAAAGTCTCACCAACTGCCAAAGATGGGCTTCTTTTAGATTTTTTAAGAATATGTTAACAAACTTTTAAGAGTTCTACAGCATAACACATTAGCATATAAAAACCAAATTGCTTTTACCATGACAGCAATGACCAATTATAAAATACATTAGAAAAAAGGTGTATTTCACTATATCAAAAAAATTAAATGCCCAGAAATAAATGTCAAAAAATGTATGATATAAAGAAATCTTATGAAACCAAGCCCACAAAAGCTCTGGTTTAATGAAGACAAATATCGTTCTTGAAGAGAAATACCATTGTAAATCTCTCCAAATCCTATGAATTTAGCACAACCAAAAACATAACTTCAAGATATGTTCACCAATAGTCAAGAAATTTTGGGGGAAAACATTAGGAAGGCGTTACTTCCACCAAATCTGACAATACATCAGAAAACTAGAATCAAAGCAATATATTATTTATTTGGGGTATCAAATACCTCAATTTAAGAATTTAGCACATAATAAAACAGCATTTCAAATCAGTGAGACAAGAGTGGACCTCAATAAATGGTTTTTGAACTTTTGAATAAAAGTAGCTCTATACCTTACTCTTCACAAAAATCAATTCTCAATGAAGATCTGGCTGGATGCATACATGATAAATGTCTTGGAATAAGGAATATACTTCATATTTTGAAATGAGTCATAAAAATTTACCAACTTGAATATAGAAATATAAACATTAAAAAAAAGACACCATATGTCAAATTAAATACAAGTGACTGAGTAAACATTGGTAACAGACATAGAAGAATAATATCTATATGAAAAACTCCTAACAAAAATGAAATAAAAGACAAATCATTCAACAGAAAAATGAGCTGTTGGGAAAAGGCAATTCACACAAATACAAAAACGGTCTAAAATAAACATATGAAAAGATGCCCATCGGTTACTAGTGCCAGAGTTTTTAATTAAAAGAAAATAACATTTTTTCATTCATTAAAAAATCTAGTATCAAATGTCCTTAATGTTATGGGGAATGGGTACTCATTCATCGCTGAGAAACTGTTAAGTTGATAATAGCCATTTGGGAAGCCAACTGAACTATCTTTTTAAAACTGCCTAACTCTGGTCCAACAATTCCAAAACCTACGTATATACAACAGAGAAATCCTTATATGCACATTAAGAGTCACACAGGATGATGTTCTTTCAGCATTGTTTGTAATCGGGGGAAAAAAAGGAAACTCCCTTAAGAGTCCATTTTAGGGTAAATGTTTAGATTATGGAATGATTTTTTTGGTTTTTTTTTTACAAAAGTAAAGAGATTAGATGTGATTATACTGAAATAAACCAAGTAGAAAAGTTGTGGAATGATATGCATATATTTATGTAAAAATTAGAACTATACATTTTATTTCCTGTGCTTATATATAATATGTATATATATTCATGGACAAAGGTCTAGGTAGAAAGTTAACAATTGGTACTTATAGGGAGGGTATTAGGATTGAAGGTGATTGCCAAAAATAGGTTTATCTCTGATGTTTTTACAAGTAAAATGTAGTCATATACTAAATTTGTAATTTCAAACGTAAAGAAAAGGCAGTATGCAGAAAATGATACATTTTAAAGAAAAATATACACACAAAATTATTCTTTGTATTCCTTTTTTTCTTCTTTCTGTGATGTAAACATACAGGAGAGGCTCTGGAACATTACCTGCCAAAATGATACGAATACTATACAAATATCTCCAATAAAAACAGTACATTCAACTCCCATATTCTCATTTGAGAGGAAAATTCAAGATTTGTAAAAACAATACAGCATCAGTTTAGAGCTCTTATTATTTTGTTTAGTTATTTATTAACATTCATATGGTACGTGATTAGATACTGAAATTTTGCCATATCTTTAGGATGTAGTATTTGGGGCAGAGGGGAATACAATTTTTAAATTTAGACTTAGTCATTAGCATTTCAGTCAATAGTTAAGTTTATACACATTTCTCAAAGAAAAACAACAGAAGACAAAACCAGATTGGCTATTTCTTTAGTAGTTTACTAATTCTACCTTACACGACTAAACAAAAATGCTTTGATAAAGTTATCTGAGGACTGTTCTTTCTGGAGATTATTCTGTAAAACCTTAATTCTAATGAGAATGATATTGGCATTCATATACAACCAGCTACATTTTATGAATAACACTACTTTTGAATGTATAAACTAAAAATTGTTTTTAGAGAACTGTGCTCTTAGAATTTTTTTTAACGTAGATTAAACTCTACAAATATTACCACATCCATCATCAATATGGTTTCCAATTATTAAATAAATTGCCTGTAGCAATATGGTTTTTCACACCTCTATAGAGTAAAGAGAACACTAAAGCAGTCATATCACATTGTATTCTAAACACCTATCATGTAAGTGGCAATTAGCCCCTTTTTTCTGCTCCTACTTAGGAAGGTGTTTGCATTTGAGATAGCATAATCCCACCATAAAGTCCTCTATCAACCTCTCATATTGAGGGGGCTTCAGTTAACGGATACAAAGACTGGAAGTTCATTCACTCATTTGTGACCTTAGCTACACCCTTGAAAGACTTTTTTTAGAAGCAAGGAAAGGGGACACAAACAGGAGGCAAAGTCGCTTCCATGATGACCTCCCAGCACTTTTCCAGGTAGCGGAATTGCTTACTTTTAATTCATGTATTGCTGAAGTCCCAAATCATGAAAACAGTAAGAGAAACTGCCAGAGCTATCTGGTTTCACAGTGGTTAGGAGAGAAAAGTATATAGGCAGTAGTTTCTTCCAAATAAAAAGGTCATCAGTAAGGAAGAAACACTTTGAAGGATATCTTCAAGGGAATTTGGAATTTCCCTCCCCTATTCTAGGTAGCTACTCAACTGTCTCCCATAGCAATTTGGCTTGTGTAAGTGCCTCTCACCTTCCTTATAAAAGAAAAAGTTCCTTTAGAAAGGCTCCAATGGAGAGAACACTAGGGTGGTGTTATAAACCTCATCTGTCACTGAGACCCCAAAATGACCTTAGCAACTTCCTCTTCTGCATTACAAGAGGGCTGCACTAATGTCTGAGTTAATGATCTAAGCTCTAAGAGTCGATGATCCATGTTTTCATCAGAGGCCACCAAGGAAGGAAACATACCTTTTCACTTCATATCATGAAGGCACTTTTATAACTCTATCACATATCAGTTTTGTCTTTAATTCAGCAATATTTTACATTAAACATCTAACATCTCTTACGTTTACAGGTATTCAAAAAATAGGAGCTGATGACAACAGTTCAATCATATACAAGTAACTGATATGAAGAGACTCAGAAAATAAGTCATTTGAGTAGATTCTATAAATCTTTAAAACAAAAAGCAGGTATAATTTTATTTCAAGAAAATATTTAGCATTTAAAGTGAAGTATGACTACTAATTAGTAGCACTGGCATTTATCTTTTCACAGTGAAACTTGGAAAAGAGGGTATGAGTTAAACTGAACCCATTTAATATAAAAGTCTTTAGTCACTTAAATTTATTTTTATAACAAAGCACTTTTTATATAATTTAAAATACATATGCTTTGATTGAAGAGTGACTGTAAATGGATCCAGTTTTCTTCCACCTGTGATGACAACTTCGTCATTTCTTCTAGAAGTACTGGCTCTGAAGGAAGCATTTTAAGGTGTAACTGAAAAGAAAAAATTATAATATTTAAGAAAATTAAACTTTTGTTTATTCTAGATTCAACCTTCTTACCAAGGAACATCATAAGATACTATTCTGAATATTTTTTCCTTAGATGCTGGTTTATTACCAGTTCCCATTTCCCTCTTCTCTATCAAACTTTCTTATCAGTTCCTTTATGGTACTGTGTCTCTCCCTTAGTAGAACTGAAGTTGTCATCACTCTCCTCCACCTAAGGATATCCCTGATACAAATCTCGAAACAAGGTCCTACTTCTAACACTAGCTCCATATTTCTGTGCTTTAGGTTTCTCCTTTCACTGGAACCCACTGGTAATGAATGATTGATGGCTCTCTGCTTTAACTCCTAAGGATTAAAGTAAATTTATATTCAGGAACTATACTTGGTAAATTTGGGAAAGGATACAGAAAAAATCTGTAGCATTTCTGTTTCTTTTCATCCTACGTACTACCATCTAAATATCTACTTATAAAATAATTTTAAATAATTAGATCAAGTAAAAACTCATTGTATATATTAATGGGCTAGAGGAAGTATCCTATCTGTTAACACTAAAAGTCAGCATCATCTACTTCCTTCAATATAATACTGAAATAAGCATGAATTCTCCATTATGTTAGTCATAAAAACAACTGTTCTTGCTAAATCACTCGAAACCCCTTCAGCCAGAATAGAAGTATTTTGATTCCAGCAGCAGAAAAAAACAAAAACAAAAAATAAACATGAAACCTAATTTTCTCTTCATGATCACTGCCAAAATATAATGACTTAAAAAAGTTAATAGTTTAGTATACTGAATCAAATGGATGATGCAGAAAAGTCAGGGGGATGAGTCAAAATTGTGCTGAGTAAAGGAAAAGACTATAAAGCTGTAGTGTTCAGCTGTCCAATACAGTAATCACTAGGTAAAGAAGGCTATTTAAATTTAAATTAATTAAATTTCTGCACAATAAGAAATCTAGTTTCTCAATCACATTAGCCACATTTCTCAGTGCTCAGTAGCCGAATGTGTCAAGTGACTGCCATGTTAGACAGTGCAGATAGAACACTGCCATCTTTGCAAAAATTCTATCACACAACACTACCCTAGGGGAAGGCAAGCTGAGAAGTATCATTTTACATTAGACTTACCTTTAGAAACAATGCAAGATATGCCTGGGCTAACTCAAAATCACGCTTCCTGTCCAACATCATCTCAATCATTTTTAAGAAGCTCTGCATAACTTCTACAGATCCACCACAATCAGGAGACAGGCTTCGCAGCTCTGTTTCAATTCCCGACGGGCCTAATTCTTTCAGAAGGTTAAGAGCAGCTTCATCTGCATTAAGTTTTAAGAAGAATCCAGTCATTACCTACAATCACTTCACTTAGGAAATTACAGTTTCATTTCATACCCAAGCAACATACATTTAAATTACACAGGAAATTCTTCCTGTGGCCTTACTTTTTCCTGTTAAGTAGTAAAATGAACCCCAAATTAAGTAACAATCAGTACAAATTATGACAGCAATACAATAAAAAGTACTTAGAGCACTAAAGTTTTTGCATTTAAGTTTTTTTTTCCTGCTGCTCAAGCTGTTAAAAACTAATGCCTAGTGACAGACACTTCAAGATGATCTTACATCAATCAGAACAAATCCAAATATAAGAAGGCTGTAAGGTATATAACAAATTATTAAGAGTAGTTGAATCGAGAACAGGATGAGGTGGAGGAATTTATTTTCCTTTCCTTTTTATTATAAAAATTTTTAAACTACCATATGATTATTAAGAAACACTAACAATACAGAAATAGATAAGGGGAAAGATTCCACCTTATTCTTACCCATCCCAAATTTACTCCTTTTCTCTAGAAATAAGCATTTTTGTTTTATATCCACCTACAAATACATATTCTATACACTCACAGCTAGTCTATAACAATATTTGATATTACAGCGGTAATGACTATGCTTTTAGCTTTTAGCAAAGAAGTAACACCAATGACAAAACTCTAATAAATTTTATTCTTTGTCCTTTAGTCTATACTAAATAACAGTGCTTTTCTTCTTTGTCCCTCCAGAAATATAACAAGTTACTCCTTTATGATCTTGCTATTCTTTAGTCATCTACAATGGCCCATCAGTACCATTATTTGACTTTTGCCAAGGTGGACTCAAGTGATGCCGGTATGAAAACAAAAGCATTTGGATCCAAAAAACAAGAGGATAAATCAAACAGGAAAGTGACTATGATTTTATTAATTGCTTTTAGTTCTTATTGTTTATCATTATTAGCTATAGACTGTAGCTTTCAAAATTTAAATTAACAATAAATACATTTTAAAATTACCTTAATGGGATAACTTGGGAATATCTAAAAATCACCAAAGACAAAAGTCTCTGCTCTATTATAAACTGTATATGTAAATAAAAACAAAAGAACGGGACGAGGGGGGGACACACACTAATTTTCCATATAGAAAATGTGAAATGTTCTCAAAAGGTTATTATAATATTAATACTCATCCAAGTTTAGTGTCACTCATTTAACATAATACAAAAGCTAAAATTATTTCACATTAAAATCGAAATTTAATCCTAAAAGTTTTCTATCTTCTTTCAGCTACTGAAAAATCTGCTAATATTTCATTCAATTTCTCTTCTTAATATAAAGTACAATATATTGATGATACTTATACTTGGTAAAAGATTTTATAATTTAACTTACATTTATTATTTACCAGTCCTTCTTCAAGTTTCAAGCAGAAATCTGATTTTTGAGCCAAAATTCCAAGATTTACCACTTTAGACTTAAACAAAAACAAATATACATTATTCTAAGAATACAAGTGTAACAAAAAAATTATAGCTTATAATTAAGAGCTGTCATTAATTTACTCTGTATCTGTAAAACTAGGTCTTGACGAAGAACTACAAATGCAGAACACAAAACACACCCTATATACTTAGAATGCTCCAATTTGATTTTTACCTGATGGGGATCATTATTTTGCTCAGGTGGTGCATATCTGGGTACAAGGCCAGGAACCGTTGGAATAAAAAATGGTGCTGATTTGGGTACTTTGGGTGGCTCCTTTGGTTTATTCTTTTTCTGATTAAGAGAAAATGAGAAAGGGAAAAAGACTAATAAGTAATTACCTTGCCAATAGTTTCTAATATTTAATTCCAAATCAATTTTAAAACAAAGTACAAAAAGTAAAAAGGAACAAAACTCGCAAATTTGAATGCCAAAATAAAATACCAACTGACAAGTATTACAGGTATCTTTAAATTGGGCGTCTCAAGGCAGACCTCCAGTACCCTTGCTAGTAAGGTAGAATAAAAATGACACGGTTCTGGGCGCCTGAGTGGCTCAGTTGGTTAAGCGACTGCCTTCGGCTCAGGTCATGATCCGGGAGTCCCGGGATCGAGTTCCGCATCGGGCTCCCTGCTCAGCAGGGAGTCTGCTTCTTCCTCTGACCCTCCTACCTCTCATGCTCTCTCATTCTTTCTCTGTCAAATAAATAAATAAAATCTTCAAAAAAAAAAAATGACAGGGTTCAGGAGAAACTCTAAGAGCTGTCATTTTCCTCAAACATGATTTACATAATATTTAGGTAAAGTAACAAGTAATTTTGAACTTCTACAGCCTTTTTCGCAAAATGGGCTAGAAAACAAAACTTACATAAATGCTCAACAGTTTCTTACATTTTTTTTTCCCTCCAAAAAAAATTTGGAGCCAGAGGTAGCCTTTGCCATTAGAAATAATTTGGTGAAATTTTCTTGTGAAGAATAGCCCTGATTCTTCTATTTCACTGGAATTTCTATTTTTTCCTTAGTACTTTTTGTCTTTAAAAAGCAAGAGAACACTATTGCTCATTTAAAAAATATTTCAAGGGTTAGTAAAATTCTATCAGAAAAACCTCCATTGGAATTCCTACTGAGAGAATTTAGTTTTGGTGACCACATGCTACACGTCACTACCTCAGGGGCATCTGATGAAAGAGCCTTTCTATGGTAAACTGCCTAATAAAGGAGTCTCACAATTTTACCTTACACTATTCCTCTTCCATTCTTTAGGACCTATCATACAAGAGAGATTCATTTTTTGAAAGAAAACCAAGGATACTTGTGGCCTTGTGGAGGCACAGCAAAAAAGGAAGTTAGTACATGAAAGCAGGACAAGGTACTGCCAACGCAGCGTAAGCACAGCCCTTCTTGGGGAAGGGTGGACTGCAGTAAGAGTCACAGTTACCCTTCTAACTCACTGTTCTTGAGTTAGAAAGGAGAGAGTCACTGAGTTGTAGATAAGAACAAAAGGCTTTTGGCAGGGGCTCCACAGGGCTCTGGAAATGGTCTAATCTCACAAGGAAAACCAAAAGGAAAAAAGTTACCCAGAGGACAACTATAGAAATTCTAACTTCTTTAAGTAAAAAATAAAAATATTGGAGATGTTAGCATATTTCTTCCATAAAGATCATTCACTCAGGTTTCTAAATAAGTTTTCATGCAGAACAAAACTGTATCTAAGCAAGGAATAGAGCAGTCCAAAACCTTAGCTCAATTAACCGGGCATTATTCTGACTGCTCCCTTCACACCGATCTACTTGGCCTTTTTAATGCATTGCTTTTAAAGCTATCCCATAAAGTATTGCCTTTATAGCTGACACACTGGACAACGCAATAAAGAGATTTCACAACTATGTTCCTACACAACATGCATTAAAGCTAAAGTCCAATCTCTCAAAAAGTGAGCAAGTAAAAAGAAGCATATTTAACTTTTGAGAAGAAAATTAACACCTGAAAACTCTTTCCTTACCCAAGACACACATATCTTTTCTGGTGCTAAGTAATCAGTTACAAAAACACCACATCTTGTCATAGTTATCTATGTCAATTCTCACACATTTTATGCCTGGCCTGGAATGTGACTTAGTATATGCAAATAACCTTTAGTGAATGTGAGTATGCATATATCTAACCAATCAAGTTTCATAAAACACTTACCCTTACTATCAGAGGATAATCTTTGAAGTTTTCTACTCTATTCCTTTCAATAACTTTTGCTACTCACAAATGGGGGGTCATAAAATATGCTTTGAAAAACACTAACTTATGCCATAATTATCCATTTTTCATGTAAAATTGTAAATTCCTCAAGGACAAAGGAGCTAGTTTTTTTCACTGCTGTTGCCCTTGGGACATTACCTAGTGCTTAGTTCATATTAATTTATGTGCCTGGACTCAACACAGCAAGCTATAAAAATCTTCTTGGAGTTGACAGAGTAAGGTATGGAATGGTAAAGGGTAGCTGAAGCTTAATTAAAAGACCAGAGAAAAGTCTTCTGGTCCCCAAATGCCTAGCAATAGAAATATCATACATCATGGCAGCAATTTTTTTCCCTCATTTTATAAGTTAAAAAAAGTTTATTAGGTTAGATTTAAAACATCCACTTTTTAATGGTTCTGTAGTTGCAGGCTGTACTTTTGCTCAGTGCTCTCAAAGTCAATTTCTATAAAGAATCTTGTGATAATCACACTGGATCAAACAGACTTCAACTAAATGGTATTTTTCTACTCCCTTGGCATCAACTGTTCCTTCTGAAACCCTCCAAGTACAGGAAGCTATCTCTACTAAAGAAAATGCTTCTGGAATGTGTCCTAAGGGACCAATATTAAGTGTACTACAGTATTACCTTAATAACATCAAGATTAAGAAGGTTTTTCCACCGTGATTCAGGGAGGAGTGAGAGAGTCACCAACTGCTCATTCAACTGTTCTGGGGAATCATACTCTATCATTTCATCACTTGGTTCTATGGTTTCTTCTGATAATTCCACATCTTAAAACAAAAAATTTTCAGGTAAAACAAATCAATGCAGAATGAGATTTTTATCATATAAAAAGGAACTTACTTTATTCCAAATCCATTAGTACTTTATAACATGTCCACTGAGTATTATAAATTCTATTGACTTTATTTCCTCATCTTCTCATATTGTCAACAACTCCCATCACCAGACCCAAAACATTTCTCCACTGGCATACTATTTAATTCCTTATCAATACAACATCAATTATATTTTTGCATTAATTCATGAAGTCATTCAAAATATTTCCTATCAGTTAGAAAAATACTTTGATTGAATGCATTAAACTTTGCTTTCAGTAGTAATATCCCTCATGTTAGGTTTATGATATTACACTTCAAACTACCATTTTGTGCTTACCTTGGGTTTGACAAGTACCAGGAAGCATCACTACCGAAGGAATATAATCTGTGGGAAGTGGCCGTAGTGAAACAACTGAATACAGGGAAATATTGGACCTGAGAAATAAACATACAAACAATATTTTAAAACTTATAAAAACAGATTTTTTTCAGAGAAACTTCAATTACTGGTAATAATCACTACTATCTTGCACTCGGCTTCAGATTCCAGTCACTTATAAAAGTTAAAAAAAACTCAAAGACAGTATTAATTTGAAAATGCCTTGACTCATGTCATAGGTGTCATCACAAGGAAGTTGTGCATAAACAATATTAATGGAGTCTTTACTTTTAATGTAATACAAAAAAGTATTTGAGAGATCAGTAGTGGATAATACTTTTATAAGATAACATAACCTCCATATATTTATATCATTTTGACAAATGGCAACCTCCATTTAGGGAAATCATTAACTGAAGGGAAGATTAACTCAGAGAGTTAAGTCAGAGAGAGAATATGCTGATTAGATCCTTTGGGTTGCTGAAGTTATGGACTTTCCCTTCTCTAGAACGGTCCTCTAAAGTGGTTATGTTTCTGCTACCTGACCCTGTACCATGGCCTTGGATAACTCATCAAGATGTAGATACCTCTCCCAAAGTGGGCTAATCGGATTCTCTTTCACATATATTATAAATCTGGAATGTAAAATAATAATTGGGAGTATCTGGTTCTGAGTTATAGTAATAGTGGCACTATATACTCCTTCTGAGGTCCCACAGGTACTCTACTATTCTTCTCTTGTCTGGATTGTTCAAGCTTCTTAAATTCCAGGAGATACTCCATTTTGCATATTAAGGTAGCCAGAGTCTATTTCTATTATATATTTAATTTATTTTCCTATCCTAAAAATCTAATTATAAAATTTTAAAGGAATCAATTTTTTTTCTCTTCCTTAATAAGAGTTAAAGGAATTACACATGTGAACTCAGAAAATAGGTAAAATTTTTCTAGACCAAGATGATGGACCATTTATTTCGAACTCTTATGTGTTCATCAACACCATCATTAATATCTTTATGTGGTTATGAAGAATTATGTAACTAGAATGAATCTTAGGAAGCATTTTGCCCATACAAATAGCTTATTTTGTAGATAGAGTAGGCTGAGTTGAAAAGTTGACCAAAGGCATAAAGTGGTCCTGGAGCTGTGGCAGGAAGGCCAGGGCCTAGCTGGGGACTCCTCTTCCCTAACATTTCAAAATTCACTTAACCTTTCTGCAAATAAAAGCCAAATACGATAGGGGCACCTAGGTAGCTCAGTTGGTTAAGTGGCCAGCTCTTGATTTTGACTCAGGTCATGATCTTGGGGTTCCTAGGATTAAGCTCTGCATCCAGATCTGTGCTCATCAGGCAGTTGGCATGAGAATTCTCTCTCACTACTCCTCCCCCCTGCTTGCATTCTCTCTCTCTAAAATAAATAAGTAAATCTTTAAAAAAATGCCAAATATGATAAATAAAAATCAGTCATGTGGTTTAGAATTTCATACTTGAGCAAAGATATCTAAATTATTAAGCAGATGTTGAATCAGTCACAAACTTATGGGAAATTGCTATTTTATAAATTTAAAAAAAAAGACAAAAATAAAGCAACTAAATGGCAATGTTAGCAACTACAATTTTCTGACAATATCATCGTCCTCATCCTTACCCAGAACAGAAATGTATGCAATAACTTACCAAAGATAAATTCCAAGGTGGTCCACGTGGGAAGTGGCTAGAAAGTCTCCAGTAGGGGACATAGTAACATTGAGAGGAGCAGAGTCCAACAAAAAGCTGTCTATAAGGCTATAAAATGAATTATAATGTTAAAGTATTTAAACTTGACCAAAAAAGGACATAACTCACAAAATATATTTTTGCTAAAAGAACAAGGGATGAGAGATGAAGAAAATACTCATTTTTTATTTTCACAAATCAACACCAGAAAGCCATCACTAACAAAGAGCTTTGTCAAGTAAGTTAATGTGTAAAAATAAGCTCTCTTAATGAGAAAGACCGAGAACACTAAATACTCCAATTAACTGAAGAAAGAGTTTCAACAGTAGGGAAAATACTAGAGGAAATGCTCTATTTTTCTGGAATGCCATTTTGGTAGACTGACTTGGGGACAAATTCTGAAGATGTAATACAGTTAAAATAAATCTGATTACCAGTACTCTCCTGTATTTTTGTTATTCCAGTGAAATTTTAAATAAGACTTAGGCAACAAAAGTAATAAAATAAAATGACTGTAAATAAGAGTAAGAAAATAATGGAAAAAAATTTTGAGCAGTTTTACCTATTTTTCAAATAGGTAACCACACTATATGTGAAACATTAAAATTCAGTCTGTAGAGCATACCACAAAAAAGCTTATGGAAACCAGTCTCACAACTTTAAAATGCTGGAGGAGTTGAAAAGTTGGGGAGGAAGGGTGAGGGATCACACCCAGGTAGGTGACACAAAAGAGGATTCTCAGAGAACAAAGTGATTGAGATAAGCCTTACAAAAGAACAGGATCTCAATGGATGTTGTTGGTAGAGAAAGTACTTCCTGGCTAAGGGAAATGTGGAGGGAAAGTGAGGGGAAATGAGATTGGGTACAAGTGAGAAGTGGTTTGGTATATAAACAGGTGCATAAGATAAGGTTACATATAGCACCTTGAATACCAAACATTTGAGTTTGTTTTGATCTTTCAATCAGTAGCAAAGTCACTAAAGCCTTCTGAGCAGATAGTAGTGTAATCTTCACTTTCATAAGGAAATCTGCCATCAGAATGTAGAATATATGTGAACAGGAAGTATAATGAGATTATGGTAGTAGTCATCTAACCCAGCAATAAAGATCTGAACTAGAAAGGTGGCGGCAGGAAGTGAAACAAGGTGGATTTAAAGAGGAAAAAAAAAGTCTAACCCATTGGCATCTTGCAGAGGAGCCTTCTGACACTGGCTGAGTAGGATACTTTGTATACTTTAAGAGAGGCATACTGGTTTTAATCACAGCAAACTAGGTTATTCGTGGAAGCCAATTCATTATCCATGGGAAAGCACAGGAAAATGACTGAAGTTTAAAATCCACATTAAGGGGCCGCCTGGGTGGCTCAGTCGTTGAGAGTCGGCCTTCGGCTCAGGTCATGATCCCAGGGTCCTGGGATCGAGCCTGCAGGGAGCCCGCTTCTCCCTCTCCCACTCCCCCTGCTTGTGTTCCCTCTCTCACTATGTCTCTCTCTGTCAAATAAATAAATAAAATCTTTAAAATCCACATTAAGGGGCACCTGGATGGTTAAGCATCCGACTCTTGATTTGGCTCAGGTCATAATCTCAGGGTCGTGAGATGGAGTTCCACGACAGGCTCCGTGCTGATTCTCTCTCTCTCTCCCTTTCCCTCTGCCCCTCCCACTGCTCTCCTCTCAAATCTCTCTCTTAAAAAAAAAAAAAAATCCACATTAAATAAAACAAATTATTTCAAGAAAATAAAATGATAGCAGTTAACACTTTTTAGTGCTCCATGCTAGGAAGTACCCTGAGTACTTGAGTCTAGTTAATTTAATCCTCGCAACCCTCTGAGGCAGATCTGTCCTTACTACACAGATCAGAAAAATGAGGTCCAGAAGATTTAAAAACTTGCTCAAGGTAAAAAGCAACTGAGCCAAGGATTCCCACCCAAGCAATCTGAACTCTTAATCACTATAATTTCAGCAAAACCACTGCTGAAACTAAAGATACAATAAGCAGCTCAATAGCATATAAAGACCCAGAAGATGCCTACATTGGTGATTCATGGAATACACTCTAAGCAGCTCAAATGTAAATGAAGACTGTCCAGTGGCAACATTAAGTGACTTGTTCATGATAAAATCTCTTTCTCAATTTGTTCAGAGTGATTAAAAATGTAACCTTTAAATAATGAATGCAAGATAAGAAAACAAGACTAAAATTAGAAGCACTGACGAGACACAGCAAAGTGTGCTCAGGACAGTGACTGCTGTTTAATTCTTAGAGGGAAACAAAGATGAATAATAACCTCTCTGATTTCTGCTCAAACCTACTTTGGAAGCTCACAAGAATGGCTTCTCTTAGGGATCAGGGGGATTTGGGAGGAAAGGAAACACTTGCCAAACACTTATTATATACCAAAGACAGTTAAAGTTATGTTAATTCACTTAATCCCATCAACCCAGAGCAGAAACATTATCTCAGCGTATACAGATGAAGATTAAACCTAAACACAACACTTTTAGATTTTAACATTTCTTGTGTCTTGATCAATATTCATTAAAAGTTATGTGAGGTTTGAAACTTCCTAACACATTTAGAATCTGTTAAAAAGAGAATCTAATGCCTGAGCAAATTTTTTTTACTTGATACTATAATTATTTTGTCAAATTCATTGTGCAACTTTATTTCCACAGCTGTTGTGTGTGGGTGGACTGGTCGTCCATTATGTAAAAGCATCAAACAGAGAAAGGTGCTTTCCACACTCACAGTGTATTTTACACTGCCACGTTAGTTCATAAAGTGTAGTGTACAGGCTTAATCCCAGACCTAACTACCACATAGTCTTCTGCTAATCCCACAAAATGAAAAGTCCTAGGTAAATTATATATTTTTTTGAGACAACATTAATAAAATTCCCATTCTATGGGATCAGATTTTCAAGCACAGAGCACTGCATATACAGATAACATTAAGTAATTTTTTCTTTTTTTTTTTTTTTAAGATTTTTATTTATTTATTTGTCAGAGAAGAGAAAGCACAAAGCAGGGGTAGCAGCAGGCAGAGAGGGAGAAGCAGACTCCCCACTGAGAAGGGAGCCCAATGCAGGACTCCATCCCAGGACACTGGGATCATGACCTGAGCCGAAGGCAGCTGCTTAACCGACTGAGCCACCCAGGCGTCCCTCTTTTTCTTTTTAAAGATTTATTTTCAGAGAGAGAAAGAGAGCGCGCACCCACAAGTACAGTGGGGGAGAGACAGAAGGTGAGAGATTCTGAAGCAGACTCTTCACTGAGCACAGAGCCCACTTCGCGGCTCAATCTCATGACCCTGAGATTACAACCTGAGCCAAAACCAAGAGTCAGACGCTTAACTGAATGCACCACCCAGGTACCCCTTAGTAATTTCTGACTATATCCTAAACAAATGCAGTGTCTAGATGTTCAATTTCAAAAGGGACAGAATTACCTTACATAGGTATCTTTAATAAATAGAACAAAAGAGATGGCTTTGCCTCAGTGAGAAAGTCCAAAACAATGTTCTATTCCAACTATTTTCATGTAATGCTCCACAGAAAGCAGCGGTCAGAGGGTGAGAAAGAACAAAATGCAAAGTTCTACTAAACTATTTACTTTTCTATTTTTCTTACCCGAAAGGGGTTTAATTTGAACTTCTAACAGATTAAAAACAACCAGAAATAAGAGGTGGTAGTGGTAGGGGATGCCAGATAATTTCAGAGATAAAAATTTCAACTCTTGCTTCTCAGAGAATCCCACAAACACAAGAATATTTTCAGCACTTCAAAACACTTTACAGAAAACAGTTCGAAATCTATGCGATTTGTTTTAGATAGGTACTACAATAGATAGATACACCTGTATGTCGCCACACTCAACGGTTTGCTCAAAGGTAGTTTCACTTTTCAGACTATGTAATAAGTAAATTCACTCTTTAAATATTTAACATGTTATGTAAATGATGAAACTGTTTACTGAAGAAAGAACTAGTACTATCCAAAGATTGCTCTAGTAATTATGTTTTTTAAAAAGAGAGGGAATCAAAAAACCCAACAGTTACCTATGGTCATATGATGAAATACTGATCCTCACGTCCTTATCCTCTACATCAACAAAATCAATTCATCCTTAGAACGTGACGTAACCAAGCAAAGTTGATTATTGCAACTATTGGGAAATCTGTTTCCTTCTCCTATGCTTATTACAGCAAAATTTCACTCACAAACTATGCCACCTTGGGTAAATTGCTTCTCTCTGAGCCTCCATTTCCTCATTTGTAAAATGGGACTAGTAATAGTAGTAGTAACTACAGCTATTAGGATATGAAGGAAGATGAAAATAAAAGCATATAAAGTGCCTAGCACTCATGGTGTCAGCTTAGTTGCAATTAGGCAGCAGCAGTTGTGTGATACTGCTTCTCAAGCTTTCTCATTCGCTCTGCCTCAGAGCTGAACCAAATAAGCACTTACGATTTTCTTTATTAAAATATATTTTGGTTCAATCAATTGGTGTGGAAATTATTAATTTTCTTTTAACAATCCCTACGTGTCTCCCAGCATCCCTCTGTATTCACTTAATATTGTCTCAGTGCTCACCTAAAAATAAGATATCAGAGTAGAAAACCTGTCAGATTTAAATCTGTTCAACTTTTTACTGAAGTAAAAAATTCAGCAAAAAAGCTAAGGTTGAGTCAAAGACTGGTGGGCTTTGAATGCTACTTTCAGATCCTAATTCTTCCGTTCCAAAGATAAGCTTACCACTTTTAAAAAATATTTTACCAATTTAGTACTACTGAACATTAACCCATCTCTCCCATCTAATGTGAACTGAAACTAAAAAGGTAAGTGAAAAAGGCATTATGCCAACTGTTACTTGTACAGCTTTCCTACTGTAAAGAAATTCAATTATAATTCATTTTTAGAATATAATGAAAGTTCAAGAAGCAACAGACTACCAATATTTTCATGTAGCCTTCAAAAAAGGGGTTTTTTTTAAATTAAGGAAATACAAACTTTATGTGAACTTTTTAAAGCCAGAAGACACAGCCAACTAATTAGATTTTGTTTTACTATATTTTATGTGAAAAAGAGATATACCCGTGGACAAAGGTCCCTAGTTATTAGAGCTGGACCCATTAGACACTGTTGCTGTGCATATTCCAAATCTTGCGTGTATGCTGGATGGATAGCTGTGCCTCATTCCTATATGAAACTTAAAGGGAAATGAGTACATCAGGGTTTTTCCTTTCTAAAGGTCAAATTGCTTTCAGGTATGAACTTATCAATTCCTGAGAAAAGAGGAAGTACAATTGGACAGAGCTTAATTTAGGAATATTTCAGAGGCTTAAAAAGCGCCATCTTCCTTCTCATTTTCCCCACCTTTCTTTACAGTATGTTCCTGTTAAAATGGACATTTCACTCTTCCCATTACTACTTTCATACCCATCTAAGAAATTCCGTCAAGTGATATGATTTTAAACTGTGTCTATTCTTACATAATTTTTAACAACACAGCTAGCTCCCTTGCTCTCTCTCTGTAGGTCTCCAGTGTTCAAATTATTTAACAGAAGTAGGTAATTTTTCTCTCTAAATGCTGTTTTTGTAACAAGTTCCACTATGAAACAGATTGCTGAACACTGCTGAGTTTTACCCAAATCTTAAGGAACACATTTTCATTACTTTAAGGTATCTAAAAATCTTCCTTCAAGAATTATGTTAGAGACAGAAAATACATAATATACACAAATGAAAGTCAGAGTTTTCAGCCTTTTAACTAAATTCATATGAACAACAACAAAAAGACACTCAACAGAAGTTTGCAGTTCTAAAGTCTGAAGTCTATTTTGTAGTATCAAAAACGTCAAATGAGCTTTCTTAAAGTTTACACAATTCACTTCTATATCTCAATTTTGCAGGAACAGAAAACCTAAGAGAGATGGCATTTTCCTTACTACTATCTTTTATAGCACTACTCCCTGCTGTTTAAGAGATCAAAAACACTCCAAGGTGGGGCGCCTGGGTGGCTCAGATGGTTAAGCGTCTGCCTTCAGGTCAGATCAGGTCATGATCCCAGGGCTCTGGGATCAAACCGCGCATCGGGCTCCCTGCTTGGTGGGGAGTCTGCTTCTCCCTCTCCCTCTACTGTTGCCCCTGCTTGTGCTTTCTCACTCTCTCTGTCAAATAAATAAATAAAATCTTTAAAAAAAAAAAACTCCAAGGACAAAATATAGTAAGGTCAGAAAAATCCCCAAATATATTCATATTCACAAGGCACACAACATTAACTAATTATAGGTAAAAGTTACAAGTAAACACAATGACTGACAAATCTTCTGATAGAGGTTAGGGATTTAAAAATAAACTCACCACCCAGATGGAAGGTCCCAAGTTCTAACCGAACAATCCATTGAAGCAGTTATTAACCAACGACCATCAGGACTAAAAGTCTGATTAAAAAGAAAAAAAAGAAATTAAAAGAAATTAAATTAAAAAGAAATTAAAAAGAAAAAAAAGAATACATATATAATGTGTGTGTGCTTATTTACCTATATATGCTTGTGTCTGTATATTTAACAGCTTAAATAATTTAAGAAATGAAAATAAGATGCAAGCTTCATGAAAAGTAAGTCTGAGTAAAATTTAGACTACCTTCTGTTATAAAAAAGAAGGTATCATTTCTTACATACCACTGTTTGGATATAGATAAGAATTAAATTTTTATATGAATTATAAAAAGCTTGAAAAGTTAACAGTATCATCCAATTTTCCATAGGAAAAGATTACTCCATAATCTTCTACACTTAAGAGATAGTTAACAAACTGTTGGACCATAAAACATTTTTAGCATAAAACTGCTATTCTGAGAATATTCAATTAGAAATATTTTGTTAGTCTAATTTCATTTATAAAGTTCTGTGAAAGAAACATGTTTCACTGAAGAGTCTGCATATTAAACTGACTTTCTAAAAATCCAAAATGATGTAAAGAAGAATGTAAATTCTCTTAAAATATTAAAGTTACTAAAGAATAACTTCTACTTTTACTTATAGCTTCAGTTAAAAAAAACTTTTATAATGATGTTTTATTTCCAAAATATAACTTAAAACTACAACCAGAATTTCAAAATAAATTTAAATAATAAACTTATGCTACCTTAGGCTGTATTTGTTGTCTTAATACAAATGGATAAATAGCTCTCATTTTCCTGTAGCACATAAGTCTTAGAGCCTTAGATCAGATCATATGTGAAAGAAGACCCAAAACAAAAAAATTTTAATTTTTATAATGGTATGTTATTTAGCCAGGAGTCTAAACACACCACAGGGATTATGACCATCCATATTAACAGATGATAATGGGATAAGCAGATTCCTATCTATTCACTGGGTTGCAGTGATACAGGGGAAACTCAAATCTTATAGAGTGAACTCAATATACAGAATAGTGCACAACTTTAACAAAGGATGGGGAAAAATGACTCTGATAGGTAAAGTCATGTTATAAATGCTCTAACTTTACTAAATAGGAGATATTCCAGACATACAAGGTCAAAGTCAGGTTTGAAAAGGAAAGAAATACAAACAGAAAGCTGACATTGCTTTCAAGAATGCATCAAAAATTTCACCAAAATTATTCCACTCCTGCCCTCATTTCTATAGATGCTATCACAACAAATTCCGCCAATGGGTAGTTCTGTTAATCTCCTATTTGCAGAACAATGCAATTTCCTGACCTTTTCCCCCTATTTTTAAGGAAATGGGTAACCACTGCAAATTCTGATTTTTGGTATAAGAACAGATAGATAAATGAAGCTGTTGGAATTGCTAGTGAATAGCTCAGATTTTAATTTTTTCCTGTTTTCAAGTAAATCAAGGTTCTGTAATTGATGAAAAATAACAATATATACTTAATATAGTCCTCAGTATACACTTTCCAAATGATCATATCCCACTATATCATATCACATCACATATCACACTACAATAACACAATACTGTATTACACATATCACATATCCCACTATGAGAACATAACAGTAAGCTAAAATACATTTTTACTGATTAAACTCATTTAAAGTTAAGAAATACAAACTAAAAACATTAAACTAGAATAAACCAGATACCAGATATATATGCAGAAAATCAGAAATGAGTTCTCTCAGCCTAGTTTAATATTAAGTTAAAAATGATACACTTATGTTTCAATAGGTCATTCATTCTCCAAAGTATATTTTAGCCTTATTTGGAGTTTAAGAGAAAAAGATGAACTCTGGGATTTATACTTTAATCTGATGGCAATAACTTCCTGAGAAATATGAAACTTCTTTAACTTCTAAATTTTCTTTAAAAATCTATTCTTTGAAAATGTTTCCAAATTGAGTATCTCATATGATAAATTTAATGCTACTAAAAGATAACAGTTTTTTTAACCTGAAATAGAAACAGAAATTAGTCAAGTTTTATTTACACATCAAAAGTTCGTTTTACCACGTCATTTATTTGGCCTTGGTGTCCAGAAAACTCTCTGACAATCTTCCTAGTTTCAATGTCCAGAACACTAATGGTGAAGTCATCCAAGGCAAGTGCCAGAATGCCACTAGTAAGATAAATACACCAGTTTTAATAAACCAACAAACCTTTAACTAAAATCTCAGAGTCATTTTAATTTTGCTAATAATCAAGTATACCTGTGGGGAAATGAAGCAAATTTCTGTTCTTGTACATTAAATGTCTGATTTTCTTACTTGGTAAATTATGTACTCACATTAAGACTTTTACCTAAATCATCAAGAAGAAAATCCATAATCATTAAAGGAAAAACTTTACCTGTCTCTATGTAGCAGCATCATATTTGGAGGTGAATCAAGGCTCATAGAATGGATTAAAATTTTGTTTTTAAAGTTCCAAAACTTGAGTAATCCTTCACTACCAGTTGTAATCGTCAACTGGTTTAATCCATCCACTGCAACACCTCTAACAGATCCTTTATGAGCTATAAAGCATATGTTATAAAGAAAAAAGAAATAAGAATTGGCACTGCCTCTTTGAACACTACACAGTGATTCCTTTATTTAAATATCTAAGTTCCCCTAAAATCTTGAAATTAAGCTGGATTCCTGTATTGCTCTAGTTAAAAAAACCCATCAGGTTGATGCCACAAAGGTCAAGATTTTCTGCTTAATGCAAGGGGAAGAAAACAAAAATTTTAATTTGTATAATATCTACTTTTGCCTAATTTATCAATAATTTCATTCTCTTTAAGTATTTCAACATGGTGTTTATAGTAGTTGTAATGGCAGTAACTGCCAGATAGGGTTGACAGTAACCCACCTACAACCTTAGCAAAAGGCCTGGCACTCAAGAATTTAATAAATGCCAGAGACAGTTATTAGCCTTGTATCTTTCTATATTATTATTTTTTAAGAAAAAGGAAAAAAAATTCAATACCTTGATCCTCGCCAAAACTTCCTCGATGTATACCAGACTGCATGTTATATACATCTACAGTTCCTGATGAGAGACCAATTACAGCAAAGTTTCCACAAGAAGTTATATCTACTGCCTTAGAAAAAAAAAATTTAAACACAGATGATACAGAAAATAACTAAGATTTTTACTGTACTTTAATGGTTTCCAAATACCTTTTATCTACTAATTATCTCATTAAAAAAAAGAAGCATGCTAAATGAATTGCCTCATTAATTTTCTTAAACACAATGTAATTATACTTAGGCATATAAGAAATATCTGCTTGATTCTATTTCCATTCTCTAAGAAGTATAAAGAAATATTATCCAAGAAAATAAAACATAACCAAAGTTAACTCAGTTGAAATGCACAAAGTGAGAAGAATTACATTTCATCTGGCCTTCAATTTTTAATTTATTCACAACAGTTCTGAAGTCAAAGTATTCCACTGCCTAATTTCTTTACCTTACCTTATATAATTGCTTCTACAGCTGATATAAAACTAAAAACATACCATTAGTTAGCATGTCCCCAAAAAAAAGCCCAAAATATCTTGATTATACATACTACGAAGGGAATACATAAGATATTGCATAGAAAATATTTAGTCTGAAAGTTTCTATAAAATAAACTCATATTTTAATATTAAAGTGTATTTTATTAACAAGATGTCTTTTTTCCTATGTTAAAAAGATGAGACTGGCTATGTACTGGGTGATGGCCAGAGAAATCCCTGACTGCCACTGTGTGTCAGTCAGATGTCATTCCCTCAAGAGATAATAGAAAAGCCTGGTGAATTTATGCCTAAAGAAACAGATAACTTCTAACACCTGTAAGAAAATATTTAACAGAGGCTATTCAACTGTGCAAAGCAGCATACAACTGGTACACCAAGTCAAGAGATATTAACATAGCATTCTCAGAAGTATGTTCCATTACATATATATTTTTCTAAGTAATTACAGCATATTTCTTAAAAAATAAAATATTTTAGGTAGGAAATTATGGAGTAATCTTAAAAAGCATCCTATCTTCCTAAGTAGAACACATACACAATCTTACCTATTTTGAATAACTTATAAATATTTATGCTATGTTATGTAGCTATGCTCTCAGGAACTAATGGAGATACTGGGCTGTACCCTTCAAAAAATAAAGGCCCCAAGAATTTGCATTTATTTTAATATGATTTATTATTGTTAATGGGCCTGCTTCTGGCTCCTTTTCTAATTTACTCATTATCTATTATCAAAAATAGCTATTATCAAAAATGAATAAGCTGAGATAATTACCTTGGAGTAACAAACTGTACTTTAATGCACAGATCTCCGATAAATACTTTTATTACTTATTGGTTACTGGCTTTGTTCCAAGTAGCTTTTGTTTGCCACACGATTCAGCACCAGTTAAGTATCACTGTATATACATATACTAGATGTTACATGAGTGATCACTATAAGCTGTGAGTTGTGTCCTAGAATGAGTGGTCGCAGGTTCAATTCCAGCTCTTCCATTTACTAGCTTTACTGACCTTAGGCATGTTCTCATTATTACATTAAGACTTGATTTTATTGTCTATAAAAAGAGGCTAACAGACAATATCACAGGATTGTTGCAAGGATAATATAAAGTAATACATGTTAGGCACAGAGCCTGGGAGAAAATAAGCACACAAAATATGTTAGCTGTAATTATCATTACCACTAATATAATAGCTACTTAAAAATGTACAAGTAAGCTTAAGAAGCTTAAGATAAAATCTCTTACAATTTTGAAGAGTATAAATGCTTAAAACTGGATTTTTGTATGTGGAGAATAGAGCATACATACTTACAAAAAACTGTCTAAAAATAGGATCAAATGTGGAATTACACTTTTAATAAATGAGTAACAGAGGTATTCACTAAATAAGTATTAAAACTAGTTAAGTTCAGCAAAGTTACATGATACAAGATAGGTCTGCAAAAATCAATTCTATTTCAATACTCTAGCAATGAACAATCCAAAACAAAATTAAGGAAAGAACTCCATTTATAATAGCACTAAAAAGAGTAAGATACCAGGAAAAACCTAACCAAAGAAGTATGAGACTTGTACACTGACAACTATAAAATATTGCTGACAGAAATTAAAGCTCTAAATAAATGGAAAAACATCACATGTTCATTGATCAGAAGTAACATAGAGATGGTAACACTCCTCAAATTGATCTACAGAATCAACAAAACCTGTATCAAAATCCTAGCTGCTTTCATTTCAGAAACTGACAAGCAGATCCTAAAATGTGCATGGAAATGCAAGAGACCAGAATACCTAAAACAATCTTGAAAAAAGAACAAACTTGGAGGATTCAATCTTTGATTTCAAAATTTAATATAAAGGTACCATAGTCAAGAATCAATGAACATGTGATGTTTTTCCAATTTTGCACATTGTAGTCACCTAGGTTAAGGAAATGGGAGAGGGGAATTGAGAGAATGGGGTTTCTTTTTGAGGTGGTAACAATGTTCTAAAATTGGACTGACTAGATTTTAGTGTTGACTGCACAATCCTATGAATATACTAAAAATCACTGAACTGTACATTTTAAATGAGAGAATTTTATAGTATGTGAACTATATCAATAAAACTGTGTTTAAAATAGGAGGAACAATTCTGCAAGCCAATTTTGACATTGCTACTTTACATCTTAAATCTGAACCCAAGAGAAGTAGACTTACATATTTACAAAAGCAAACAAAAAACCAAAATTTCTTAACCAAAGTAAATTTTTAAGTAAACACTGGCATTTAAAAGCTGTATTTAAGAAAGGCTTAGAATTCAATCAGAATTTCTCTATAAGGCACTTCTCAAGAGACAAATATAAAAGAAATAAAGGCTTTAAATAACTTCTACATCTATAACTCATTAAAGAGTTAGCTAAATCTTACCCTATAACAAAAGAAATCAAGAAAGAAAAAAAAACCTTAGATTCACATTCATTGAGTATAGTACTGTATACTCAACATAATTAAGGTAAGAAAGTTCATTGATACATGCTGAACTCATCTTCAAAGGATATTCTGAATAATCCTATATTAATTTGAAAACTAAAATAATATATACTACATCTGATTCAGCAAAGCTTAACTTAAGCCTAAATTAATTCTCTACAGTTGCAAAACTTAACACTATTAGAGAATAATTTCAAAATGTTAAGTTATTTTCTGTTAACCAATATTATCATTAATAAACCTGAGTCAAACAAGATTACCATAGGACAGATTTACAGAAGAAAATGCTCTTATCAACAAACTCAAGCTCACTTACTGTTGCAGTTATGTCATCCTTCTTCAGCTCTTTTGGCTTGAGAAAGTAAGCACCTATTGTAGATTTCTGATAGTTCCAGGTTGAACAAGATAATTTACCTTGATGGCAAGCAATGATACTATCCCAGTCACTTTCACGAGCTTCCTCTAAAATGTAATAAAAATCATGTATCAAATTATTTTTCATTCCTTCATTCCTTCATTCACCTATTATTTATTAAGCATGTAATATTCATGTTTTCATCAAGCACTAGAGACATGACAGTTTACAGGTAATTCTGGATAGCACTGAGCTTCCAATCTAACAAGAGATTCTAATTAGAAGAAACTAAATAAAGAATATAGTGTCTTATAAAAGCACTCAGGAAGAGTTTACTAAGAGATCTCAGGACAGAAATAACTGGCTCCCTGAAAGAAGCAATAAAACAAATAGCAATTTATGGGGGGAGTGGGGAACAGGGGCATAAACAGGTCCAAGAGTAACTTGAACAAAATGAAGCACAGCAAGTATTTTCCTGAGAAAGCTGGGAAACAGGCAAGGCACCTGGGGCCATATAACACAAAGGATCTTGAAAGCCATGTTAAGGAGAGGAGATTGCATCCTGTCATAAGGGGCCTCTGAAAGATTTTTAAGCAGGTGAATGACATGATTCATATGTTTTAGGAAGATCACTCAGCTCTAAGATAAAAAATAGACAGGAGGGTAGTCAAAATTAAAGTTAAAAAAAAAGGGGGGGAAACATCATCTGGTTGACCTTGAAATGGAAATGGTGCCTTATTTCTATGATAGCTTTCACTCAACAATCCCATCACCTATCTACATTTTTCTTAAAATCACTTCTTTGAATCAAATACCACTCAAATGATGTAGCATACTAAGACCTCAGTGCATTTTGATTTTGATTAAATTAGAACTGCATGTTCTCCATTCTTACCCTTTTAACATTAGTGACTTTCATCATACCAGACACACAATAGAATAAGGATTATAAAATGAAATACCAAATACTGTTTATTAATAGGTCTTATAAAGAACAAACCTTGAAATTAAAAGGTAAGAATTTCAAATTATAAGTAACTCTTTTTTAGTCTTCAATGAGATTTGCATGCACTTGGGAGTTACTTCCAAATGCTTATTAATATTTGCAAAAACATTTTTTAAAATTAAAAAAAATTTAAAAATAGATATAGGAAAAATAAAAAACAAAGCAGAACTTGTCGAAACATGTATTAAGTTACTTACCAGCTGCAAACTTTGTGATGGGTGGAAGTCTTACTGACATGGCATTCTGAAGTCCTTTACGTTTGACTCTTTTTTTATTTACTAATCCTGGGGATGAGGCAGAGGGGAATACAGCTATGAACCTTTCTTAATGAAAAATGTACATAAAAGAAAAGCTATTCCTCGTCATGTAACTATAAAGTTCAAGATATTCCTATTTAAGTAAGGAGACAAAGATGTTATTACCACTATTATTTGATCATTTATGAAACTTAATCTATGTAATTACATAAGAAAACAAATAATTGAAAAATGAAGGTAAAAATAATCATTTTTTACAGATGATATGATGGTCATGCAGTCATTTCAATCAAGAAAAACAATCAAATCATTATTCAAATGATCATTTATTGAACCAAATAAACAAAAAAAAACCCCAGTGAGTTCCTATGATGCAGTAATATCTAATATCATAATTATTTTGTAATTACAATATATTATGTATTCTTATATACTATTTATTAAATATTAAATATTGCAGAGTGGATATATAATGAACAAAGATCACATCCATAATACTAACAAAGAAATATGAGCAAATTGTATTAAAATACATAAAATGCCACTGAATAATCTCAAATTTGTAGGACCAACAGGAGGAAAGCTAAAAAAAAAACTTCACTAAGGAACATGAAACACAACTTGAATGAGAAATACAGTATCCCTAGATGTGAAGACAAGTATCACTTTGGATGCTGATTAAAAAATGATCCAAAAAGGGGAACCTGGGTGGCTCAGTCGGTTAAGCCTTTGGCTGGGGTCATGATCCCACAGTCCTGGGATCAAGCCCCACATCGGACTCCCTGCTCAGTGGGGAGCCTGCTTCTCCCTCTCCATCATGCTCTCTCTCTCTCTCAAATAAATAAAAATTAAAAAGATCCTAAAACTCATCTGGAAGTATATATATGCATGATTAGCCAGGACAGTAGCTAAAAAGAAGAGTTAATTATAAATAAAACTGAAAAACATTTTTGTTTAATACACAAAATCTTTCAAATGCTGGAAATGATGGGCAAGGATAGAGAATAAAGCAAGCCCTTTTTCCAAAAAGATGGGACACTGCTAACTTTGATGCTTTCACTAAGGTCTCTTCCATGTTTAAAATCCTGCACCCTATACATGGCTCAAGTGAAATCATCAGTGTCTCCCGGGTGGCAGCATTACGTTTTTACCACCCAAGATGTCTAATTCTTTTCAATAACCTTATAGCAACACCTCATTCACTTCCATAGCAACACTGATCTTAAGAAGCTTACTACACTCTACCATACAAGGGTTTTTTAATTTCATCCAAGAAAAGAGGAAATTTATCAATAAAACTTCCTCTGGTTCTCTCACACTATCTTGAAATGTTTCTTTTGTGACCAGCAGCTTTATTTTCACCTTGCAAGTGACCTACCATGTCCCAAACTCTTGTTAAATTTTTCATGTATTGTGGAAAATGATTGAAGAGTTCCATCTTGACCTGTTGATATAGACAGAAAATACTCAAACAAAATTAAATTCTTAAAACGTGAAGTTACAATTTGGGACACTTTCAAAGGAGAGCTGGAGGGGCACCTGGGTGGTTCAGTTGGTTAAGTGGCTGCCTTCAGTTCTGGTAGTGATTGAGCCCCACATCGGGATCCTTGCTCAGCGGGGAGCCTGCTTCTCCCTCTGCCTGCCGCTCCCCCTGACTGTGCTGGCTCTCTCCCCCCACCCTCTGTATCAAATAAATAAATAAAATCTTTTTTATTTTTATTTTTTTATTTTTTTTATTTTTTAAAGATTTTATTTATTTATTTGACAGAGAGAGTCAGTGAGAGCACAAACACAAGCAGGGGGAGTGGGAGAGGGAGAGGGAGAAGCAGGCTTCCCGCCGAGCAGGGAGCCTGATGTGGGACTCGATCCCAGGACTCTGGGATCATGACCTGAGCTGAAGGCAGACGCTTAACAAATGAGCCACCCAGGCGCCCCAATAAAATCTTTTTTAAAAAATTTAAAAAATAAATAAAAGGAGAGCTGGATTGCAACTACTTCATTACCATATTCACCTGCACATAGAATGTCATTTAGTAAGAGCAAAGGATAAAATGAGGTACTAAGAATCTTCAGCAGATTATTAGACGAGCCAAGGGCCACAATTTCAGAATCTGACCATTGTCTCTGAGAATTAGTAAATAAAATAACACTGTAAATGAAAATAATATCATCTACAATGCTTCCTGAAATATTCAAAAAGAATCCCCTTATTTCCCCAGATTTCCAAATCGCTCTAAGGGGTATATGAATTCGAAAATTCATAAATATCAAACCTAATAAATATTAAACGCCCTGCTCTCAATACTTGCTTGAATAAACTAAAAGCACAAAGCAGAAACTCACTTGCACTAAGAATTTGCTGTCCATTTTGTCCATAATATCTGATTTTGGTAAGAGGAGCACTATGTCCCATTCTGAATCTCAAAAGCCGACCTTCACCCATGGGACCATCAAATATCCATATCTGCCAAGAAATAAAAAGACAAGGTTCTTTTGCAATGTGTTAAGTGATCTGCAAGCAGTCAGACATCTTCTACATATATCAGGTGGCACCGGGTAGCGCTTGCCAGGCTGCTGACCCTAGAGAGGAGGCCGAGGGAGAGATAAACTGTAACTTTCTCACTTCACTGCAATCATGTAACTTGCTGTGTTCTTTGCTTCATCTATACGATTATCTTATCCCATTTTTCCTTTCATCTTCTAGGTTCCAGGCTCATACATTAAAACAGGCTTGTAATAATCCCAAAGACAGAAGCCAGGAAAATGGTAACAACAATAATCATAATACCCTCAGAGCATTGTCAGCACCATTTGTGACAAGAAGTGGCTCTCTATGGAGAAATGTCAGCCCGGCAATTGCTGTAGAATGTGCATTTCTCATCTGATTGATTAATTTTTTGTCTTCTAGATCCCAGAGTCCAATATGGCCACATGGGCTTCCAGCTGCCATTACTGGATGACCATCTGTTATCAAAATAAAATACATTTAAGAAAAACATGCACCATAAAACAACCAAACTTAACAATTCTTCTCTCTACCCTTTTAACCCATAAACATAAAGTTAGAAAAGAATATCCACCAATAATCTATTCATAATCCTTTGGCTATTTGCAATGCAGTATTTCACTCATTTTATTAACTACATTAAATTGTAAGAAAGTATCCATTTGGAAAATTTCTATGAGCTTCAAAGTAATGCATTTTAAATGTTAACATTTTTTAGTAAGTTAAAAGTTACCTGTGCGACATGACCTCACTGATATGAGGAATTCTTAATCTCAGGAAACAAACTGAGTGTTACTGGAGTGGTTGGGGGTGGGAGGGATGGGGTGGCTGGGTGATAGACATTGGGGAGGGTATGTGCTACGGTGAGCGCTGTGAATTGTGCAAGACTGTTGAATCACAGATCTGTACTTCTGAAACAAATAACGCAACATATTTTAAGAAAAAAGAAAAAGAAGATAACAGGAGAGGAAGAAAAGGGGAGTATGTCAGAGGGGGAGACGAACCATGAGAGATGATGGACTCTGAAAAACAAACTGAGGGTTCAGGGGGGTGGGGGGATGGGTTAGCCTGGTGATGGGTATTAAAGAGGGCACATTCTGCATGGAGCACAGGGTGTTATGCACAAACAATGAATCATGGAACACTGCACCAAAAACTAATGATGTAATATATGGTGATTAACATAACAATAAAAAAATTAAAAAAAAAAGTTACCTGTGCGAAATGAAATCGAAGTAATAGGTCCCCAGTCTTGATGAAATTTCATTAATGTTTCATCAAATTTAATGTTGTGAATGATAACCTGACCTGACATAAGACCAATAGCAACAACATCCACAGCTGGTGCCTGAAAATTAAATTATTCAGCTTTTTATTTTCTTAATAAAAATAGCTTTAATAATCCTGTTATGCATCATTAGTTATGTGTTAGCAAAAAAATGGGCTATCTTCCAGAGGATGGCAAAAAAACAGTAAGTATTTCCATTCTAGCATACTTTAATTGCTATTTCATGTGTAAGTATTTAAGAATGATGTTTTCAAGTTACTTCCCAGATACCATCAACCCCCTCACCCCTAAAACATAGCTGACACGGTAAGAAAACAGCCATAAAGGAAAAGGAATCTGATATGTGAAGTCACTACAGATCACTGACTGGATGGACACAGAAAAGAGAGACGACTCTCAGAAAACATAACATATGAAGGCTTGCCATATGCACGGCAACATAAAAGGCCAACTACAAAGGAAGTGAAGAATTATTTAAACAAGAAAAACAGGAAAAGCCTATAAAACATATTAAAAGGCGAAAAAGTTTTACAATTAGTCTGTTCCAGCTCTAATAATCTATGAATATAATCTTCATTTTATACAATGGTCTTACATATAGGCTCCATAATAAGTTTCTCTATTTTAGAACAGATCAATGTCCTATACCATTACAGAATGGAATCAGGCAAAACATTTTATTAATTTATCATCAAGTGACTATTATGCATCAGACCCTGGGGAAACTAAAACAAGTATGATTCCTTGTCCTCAAGGGACCTAATCATCAGATACTAAGCATAGCAAAATTGATGGTAGTGAGAGAGAATGAAAGACTGAATATAAATTGGGCAGGTATAGCAATAGATACTTAGAAGGACAAGGGTACACTGGAAGTATATGTGTCCAATATATGCATAAGATTATCCGCAGACATACATTCATTCATTCATACCTGTTCTGCAGACTCATAAAAACAAAAGCAGATATTTATGAAGAGTCTAGTTAATAAAATATTAGGATGTGGGTCCCAATTATTCCAAGCTACAACTCTCAACATTCTGACAAATTTCTCTGTATGACCTGCAATCTCCTTTACTGAACAACTAACTCATTTCCATCATCCCCACTCTGTACAAAGCACTGGGCTACACGCTTGCAAAATGACTGGTAAACATAATCCCATATTAACTATATGTTTAGAGCCTAATTCCAGACAAAAAGATTTCCACAAATGTTTATAGGGAAAGGCATTATTATTTGTTTTCAGTTACATTTCCAAAACACTATTTTTTAGGGTAATATTTATAAAAATAAATTAGTTCTATATATTATTGTCTTCAGTCCTAAAAATATGGTTGACCCCTGAAACTGAAAGATTACACTAACTTCATTTCTTCTTTGACTTAACAGAAAAATACTAACCTGCTGAAGAGCTGTTACTCCCATTTTCCATCCCTGAAACGTATACAGTAGTTTACTACAAGAAAAATAGTTGAAAGGTTTTATTTTTTAGGAAAACAAAATCAACTATATATTAAAAAGAAATAGTAACAGAAGACATTTAGGTTGTTACTCTGCCCCACACTATTCTAAGTTCATATATTAACTTATTTAATACTCAAAACAATCCCATGAGGTAGATATTATCACAGTTTTTCAGAACCAAAAACTAAGAAACTTAATTACGTGAAACAATGAAGCTAAGGTTATATGGCTAATAATTCAGAGCCCAGACAGACCAATTCTAGATCCTATGCCCAATACTGCTGGTAACTACTCTACTATGCCAACTCTTTAAGAAATTAAAAAAAAAAAATACATGACTAAAAAACCATTTTATATTACAGACTATAACAAAAAACCATCATAGAATGTAGGCAGATGTCTAGAAAAATATTACAGAAGGGAATATAACTATGATACTAATGTTATAGAACTATTGCATGACAATAGTGATGCTGCTCTAAATTTCAGAATCAAACCACAAATGATAAATAAAAAGTCCTTAAAGAAACAGAGATTCTGAAATTGTTACAACGATATTCAATAAAATATTAAATAACATAGTAAATTCAGTAAGTGGGCACACTTATCACTTACTCAATGATTATCCAAGGGATACTTAATGTACAATAGTGTAAACATCACATAAAGAGCCTCAATAGATAACCTTAGGGGCAGAGAAAATACCTCTCAGTCATTATGCCTGAGCTGAGCACAGACTGGAGAGTCAATGATATTTAAATTTATGTTCTAAATAAAGTGCTTACTTGGATTTTACATTCCACAACTGTAGGCTTCCTTGTTCACTGCCGAGAAGTATTTTATTCAAGTAGGTACTTGGGTGCAAAATTGCAGAAATTTTAAATACTGATTTATCAAAAGTCAATTGCAGGTATTCCTCTACAAAAGTCAAAGTTATAAATAACATGTATTTATTTTTCATATACCCATATATTTAGCCCTTTAAGGAAGTCTACCATATCAAAAATTTATGTCCTAATATAAACCAAAGACTTATATACTAACCTATACACATTCCTTGAAAAATTAAACAAAAGTGATGAGGAGCAACTTGTAAATAAAATTTAGACTGCCAAAAATTTTCTAAAAGTTCTAATATCAATACTATTAAAAATTTCACTCATTGCTGAGCTGGTTTACAGAAATAAAAATAAGGATTAGAAAAAAGTATCTCTAGGGATCAGCCTTACTATTTTTATAATTTGACCAAGAGGCAAAGTGAATATTCCAAGTGAAGTGCTTGTACTGAGCTCTCAAATATCTACAGAGATTGATAGACCACTCAAAGATGTAAAAAGTTAAGAAGCAAACCTTGGTGAAACTAAGAATGGTGCTTCTCACACATTTCCACAGAATCTCTAATAGAGGAGAGAAAAAGAACTTACAGCCTTGTAGAGAAGAGCAAATCCAGCCATTTTTTTGAAATCTTTCCTATATTTAAAATTCTTATGTGTAAATTTTCTTTTCTACTTCACGGTTCATGCATGATGAAAACAATTTTTCACTAAATTTTCCCCAAAATGTGAGTATCAAAGAAGGTAAATCTCACTTAATTTCTAGTCTCACATACTATGTGGTACACTGCTACACATTCCCAGAGATATGTGTACCCACTTTAAAAAGCTAGAAAAAGGTGAAGATCATAAAAATCTTAAATCCTACTTTAAAATATCATTGCCTCTATTTGTACCTAGAAATCTTAATTACAAGCAACATAAACAGCTCCCTGAAGACACTGGTTCAATGTGCTGCTATAACAATAATAAAAAGCTGGCACCAGCAACAAGAGAAAGCCTGCTGAATTGTAAGAATCAGATTCTCTAACTTTATTAAAGCCTTTTAACACCCATCTGCACAAGGACTACTTCAGGAATTCTGCTCCCTTTACTTGGGCAAAGACAGAACAAAGAAGGTCTAATTTGAACAAGAACATGGATTAACTCCCAGGAGGACAATTTTTACTAAAAATAAACATACCTCGAACAATGAGTTAATCAAGAGGTAAGACAAGCTAAAAAATGTAAACAGATTTAAAAAACATAAAAGCTTGAATTCATGGGAGATCCACAGTCTTTTATTGAGGAAAGCTGGGGATATTCTGGGGATAAATTCCCAACCTTTGAGGATAACATAGTCCTGGAGACATAGCTCAGTGCTACTGTATAAAAGTATCACAGTTAAAGGACACTCACTCATATTCTTAGAAACAGGATGGATACTTTCCTTCAGATTACAGGATCTTAGTTTACTACTATAATCTCCTTTACTGAAAGTTGAAAATACAAACCAAGAACATATACCAAAATTCACTCCACAAAGAAAATAATTAACATGTCACTAAACTTAGAGAACTGCAATGGAAAATATTATTAGCTAATAGAAACACATTAAATAGGTTATAAATAGGTCAGCTAGCTGATTAAAATTGCTTATCCATATCTTACTTAAAACCTTTTTCCTCGTGCATGTTAAAGGGTCTAAAATTTTTTCTGATTACATGTTACACCTCTGATATGGAAGTTGTGTTTATACAGATTTTTAATTTTAGCTACATATATACTAACCCCCAAGATAATGCAATAAATTGGTTCTTACCTTCCGAATATATGTGCCAAATAATAAGAATGCTGTCAGTATCAACAGAAATAATGTGATCCCCAAAGGGTTGCAAAAGATGGATTTCTGCCTTATGACCCTTAAAGGTGTGTACTACCTAAAATGTCAAAGTTCAAAAGAATTTCATATCATTACTCATTCACCATGTAATATTCATATTAACCAAAAACATGCTAATCATAAAGATGCTCATGTTGAAGTTGAAAATAGAGCTACCATACAATCCAGCAATTGCACTACTGGGTATTTACCACAAAGATGCAAATGTAAGGATCCGAAGGGGTATGTGCACCCCAATGTTTATAGCAGCAATGTCCACAATAGCCAAACTGTGGAAAGAGCCCAGATGTCCATTGACAGATGAATGGATAAAGATGTGGTATATATACACAATGGAATATTATGCAGCCATCAAAAGGAATGAGATCTTGCCATTTGCAACGACGTGGATGGAACTGGAGGGTGTTATGCTGAGTGAAATAAGTCAATCAGAGAAAGACATGTATCATATGACCTCACTGATATGAGGAATTCTTAATCTCAGGAAACAAACTAAGTGTTGCTGGAGTAGTGGGGGGTGGGAGGGATGGGGTGGCTGGGTGATAGACATTGGGGAGGGTATGTGCTATGGTGAGTGCTGTGAATTGTACAAGACTGATGAATCACAGATCTGTACTTCTGAAACAAATAATGCAACATATGTTAAAAAAAAAAGAAAAAAGAAGATAGCAGGAGGGGAAGAATGAAGGGGAGTAAGTCGGAGGGGGAGACATACCATGAGAGATGATGGACTCTGAAAAACAAACTGAGGGTTCTAGAGGGGAGGTGGGTAGGGGGATGGGTTAGCCTGGTGATGGGTATTAAAGAGGGCACGTTCTGCATGGAGCACTGGGTGTTATGCACAAACAATGAATCATGGAACACTACATCAAAAGCTAATGATGTAATGTATGGTGATTAACATAACAATAAGAAAATTAAAAAAAAAAGATGCTCATGTTGAGAAATGAGGTCCAGCTTTTGATTATACAAGGTCAGATTAATAACTATCAAGCAACCAGGCATTTTCACCTGCTCCCTCAGCCAGTCCAATAAGAAAACATGGACTAGAAACCCAGAAATGAGACCTCTGGGACTCAGCCCCACAACTGAGCTCAGGGAGGACACATACACACAGCTGGGTCCTTCACCCAATCCAACCAGCACAACTCCATGCACCCAAAAAAAGTGGTTATGTTCTAGAAGGCTGACCTCTACAGGCTCCATCACCAGCTAGTTTCCAGATGAGATGAGGGAGATAGAGCACTTCTTCCTCACAGTTTTCCGTTTTGACAGAGACCCTTATCCTTACAGTACCACATCCCTCAAGAACTATAGCCCCTTCCCCACGGTTTCAGTTCTCACCAGGCTCCAGAAACGCTATTTCTTCTCCTTCTCCTTTTGACCCTAGATTCCTACAGGGAAGTCTCTGATGCCTGGCCACCCTTACTTTCTCTATATATCTATCTTCCAGGGAAAACTACAAACTCAAGTGTTTTACAAAAAAAAAAAAAAAAAAAAAAAAAAAGGACATTTTTCCTGACTCTAAAAATCCAAACAAGTCCCATTAAAGAACTCCACAGGTAAACTGCCTTCCTCTGCTACAGAGAGTAATGACAGAGGACTCTGGGAACAAACGTCAGTCGAAGGCAGGCCTTCACAAGTACAGTGATTCAATTACTTGGCTATCCAGGCAGCCCCACTGCCACTTTCCTTTTCATTCTGGACCACCAGAGCCAGGTCATCTCCCAAATTAGTTGTTCCATGACAAATTTAGAGACCAAATGATAGATTAAGAAAAAAAAAGACACCCCCCCCTTGCAGTGTAGAAAAGAGAGAATCTAGTTTCCTCTATATAGAAAACATGCACTTGGTTCTTAAAAAAAGGAGTCACGGGCTGAGTTGTTCATAGTGAAAAAGTCATCCACATAAAGGAGTGGTATAAATATGAATCTCCCAGGAAAGCATTTTCAAAGGCATTTCTAAATCCTGCCCCAACCCAATATACAAAGTAGAGAGCTTAAGGAGATGGGGCCCAACTGAGCAAGAAAATTTTGAAGAGTTGCCCAAATAATTCTGATGTTCATCCATGACAAAGAAAACTGAACTAAAGTACCAGTTTTAACTAATTTTGAGAATTTGATGAAATCAATTTTTCCTCCTCCAGAAAACTACATAAATGTTTACAATAAAAAAAGTACATGTCCAGAGCGTCCCAGATGAAGAATGGCAACAATTAAGTTCCCTCCACTTTTGTGACAATCAACTATTGATTACGAAAGACAAATTAAAATAGTTCAGTGATACAAACCTCTTTATTACGGGCAAATGCAGAGAAAACATTCCCATAAGCAGCAAAGACTAGCCTCCCATCAGCTGCCATACAGCAGATATCCTGTGGAAGAGAGTTACCTAGGTAAAAGGAAATATAAAATTTTAAGATCTTGGCATAGACAGGAAACCTCAATACACATGTAACATTTTCATGGCTATAATGTAAAAATATGTAGATATGTGTGTGTGTGTGTGTATATATATATATAAATAAAAGCTGAAAATCAGTATAAATTTAACTTCAATGTTATTTTATACATCTAATACTATCAGACTGAAACTATGAAATCACTTTGACCTTCCCTAAGAGAATTAATTTCTAGTATTTACAGCCATAAAAACATAATCCTAAAGAAATGAAAAGCTTTTTGAGGTTATCTGGAAAAAATCCTCACTTAATATAAAAAACTGGCAGATAGTCATCTAACCTTCATGTAAATGCCTTCAGGAATATCAAGTTCACTAACAACTCTAGCACAATTTTTAAAGTTAATCAAAACCTAGAACCCTATTTAACTCTATCCTTTGGAAAAACCTCAGAAAAACCTCACATGATACTCTACATTCTGAACCCTACAGTGAAAAATATGGTATCTATTCAGTCTCCGAGGTAAATGTGCCTATCACCTCTAGCCATTTCTCATATGGTATGATTTCTTCACTCCTCTCTATCATGGTCACACTGGCATTTTCTTTTTATTCCATTTTGGGGGCAGGAGATTTAGAAGATAGAGGATTGTTTTAAGTATTTTTCATGCTACATATTCCATTTTAAGATTTCATTTCCCAAATACTATTTTTATAGGTTTATCATTCACTTTGTATTCAGCTTACATTATAGTGCCCTTCTCTTGCCTTCTATAATCTTTTAAAAATTTTTTATCAGACTAATAAACTTAAAGTCCTCTGTTTCTGCTACAATGATCATATCTGATGGTAAAATTAGAATCTCTCAGCCCTGGCAAGCCCTTTATTCTGTTAAACAGTTCCCCCCCAAAATAAATATTCCTTCCATTGGAAAAAAATATCAAAATGGAGGAAAGGGAAAACTCTTCCTTACAGTAGAAGGAACTATGGAATCAGAAAATCACTATTTGGTAATCATTCTAATAACTGGTTCAGGCAAGAATCATCACTAGATGATAAAAACAACAGGTAAAACTTTGAAGAGTAATAGAATATTGACATAGTCTCAATGGATCTTACCACAAGATACTTATTAATTATAACAGGTAAAACTTTAAAATGGAGCCTCCTGACAAATGTCACCTTAATAAAATGATCAAAGTTATCACTGCCAGGAACAGAACTAACCAAGCATGTGCCTGCTAATACGATTCACTGAGAATTCTGCATTATTTCTTTGTTATTCTTGCCACAGGGCATAATCTGAATCTAATCATGAGGAAACATTAGAAAAAGTCCAATTGAAGGACATTCTATAAAAGAACTAGCCTATACTCTTCAAAAGTGTCAATGCTGTGAAACACAAATTTAAAAAGACTCAAGAGACAGGACAACTGAATGTAACATATGATCCTATCCTGGACTTTTTTTTAACTATGTAAGTTTATCAGAACTACACACTGCATTTCTTATATACTCTGTAAGTCTTAAATTAATGTTAGAATTTTTAAAATTTTTAAAAGACACTAAACATGCATAGATTCAGAATAAAGTTTACACTTACTTACTGCAACCAGACTAAGTTTCTGAACCTGTTTTAAAAAAGAAAAAAAAATGGTTAGATTGTAATTGCTTTTGTTAATGAAAATTTAACACCTGAAAATTAAAATATAATCTCATATATAAGTTTGCTATGCCATCTTTCCTTAAAAAGACACTTACTGATCCTAATTTTTCATTATTAGGAAAGCTTATATTTTCAACTATTTCATCAGGAGTAGTGATGGAAGGGGTAGACAAATGTTTTCTATAATGAGACATATAGTAAATATTTTACGGCTTTGTAGGCTATGTGGTCTTTGCTGAACTGCTAATAAAACATGAAAACAACCACATATAATACATAAACAAATGTGTATGGCTCTATTCCAATAAATATAATTTATGGATACAGAAATTTGATTTTCATGTAATTTTCGTATGCCATGACCTATTATCATTCTTTTGATTTTTTTTTCCCCCAACCATTTAAAAATGTCAAAACCACCCACCTCTAAAGCACAGAGCTCAGAGAGGTGTAAGTGGAAATTGAAATCCCAGAGATGCTAGAATCCTAAGACTGAAGGGTCTTTGGAGATCAAATTAAATATCCTATTTTTTTTTTTTTAAGATTTTATTTATTTATTTGGCAGAGAGAGACACAGCGAGAGAGGGAACACAAGCAGGGGGAGTGGCAAAGGAGGAAGTAGGCTTCCCGCCGAGCAGGGAGCCCCATGCAGGGCCCGATCCCAGGACCGTGGGATCATGACCTGAGCCGAAGGCAGACGCTTAACGACTGAGCCACCCAGGCGCCCCTAAATATCCTATTTCTTAAATGGAAGTAGACACAGGTCTCCATCACATGTCAAAATTTAATTACATTGCATCCTACTACTGTGCAAAATTTACTTGGCAGGTTGTTATTTTAGAATAAACACACACATAGCTATAAAATAAATAAATAAAAATGTTATGAGTATACAAAAACAAATGGTGAGCAGGATTGGCTTGCAGGTTGTAGTTAGTTGACCCCAATCTATAGTTACTGATCCAGCCTATGACCTTGACAAAGTTACCCCACCCCCATCCCCCCTTGCTTCAAGTTTGTCATCTATAAAATAAGAATTAAAACAGATCCTGCTTGGGCGCCTGGGTGGCTCAGTTGGTTAAGCGACTGCCTTCGGCTCAGGTCATGATCCTGGAGTCCCGGGATCGAGTCCCACATTGGGCTCCCTGCTCAGCGGGGAGTCTGCTTCTCCCTCTGACCCTACCCCCTCTCATGCTCTCTCTCTCTCTCAAATAAACAAAATCTTTGAAAAAAAAAATAGAATAGGTCCTGCTTTATGGGATTATTATGGGTATTCAATATGTAAAATTTGTGTGTAAAACAGAACAGAGCCAGTCACAGTTAATGCTCAATAAATGTTAGCTGCCATCACCACCACCATCTCCACCTTGAGAATGGCCCTCACTTTCCTCTCCCACTAACTCAACCAGCTCTTCTTGCTAAAAACCCGTTTGATTTCCACAATCCCTCAAAGAATACAACTTTACAGCTTGGTTTCCAGAAAAAGTACTTAATTAACAGTGGCTATTATAATCCTCATCAAGAAAAGGTCCCTGCTTTCACAGAGCATACATTCATTTGTAGATAAAGGAAAAAAGTAAACAGCAACGAAAGACTATAAACAATGACTGATGAGAAATTAAAGGAGAAAAACCAACTAACAGGCAGGAAGACCTGGGGCAAATAACTTAACTTCTGGAATTGTGTTCTAGTTTACATGAGGATGCTCCGGAAAAACCATACATATCTCGTAGAGAAATTGCTGCAAGACTTAGACTAAGGCACGGTGCCAGACCTTCAATGTTGGTAGAAATAGATGCTCTGGGGAAGTTTTAAGATTAGTTTGCTACCAAATGTGGACAGTCCCCCAGATCATAATTAATCTCACCCCCTCCAGTTCTTCCCAATGTATTTTAGTCTAAATTTCTAATCCAGCGTGGGTCAGAAACTGCACAATAAAATGTCTTACAAGTCTTTCTCGTTAAGAATTCAGGAGGCTAGGACTTATCGTAATCACATTTACATCTTCAAGGGAACGTCAATAGATATTTAGTGAATATACTGCCACGGAACTGAAACGTTCTCTGGTCCTTTCCCCCTGCGAGACTGCCTCCGAAAGTCGCCCCAAGCGTACGGCAAGGGCTAAATTAAGCAGCACGTGGATGTGAAGCGGCAGCGAAATAGGACAGGTTGGGGTTAAGGAAGAGACCCGCAGAAAGGGAAGCCCTGGATCGGTGGGGGAGGAGATCGGGATTGCCCCTGAAAAGTGCAGGGGCTCGGAAGGGTGATTCCCGGGAAGCGGGCGAAGGAAAAAAGTCACTCACGTCATAGGTGTGGAAGCTCTTGCCCACGCAGGTCGTCACGTAGAATCGGCGCTTCAGCGCACTGAACCGCACCACGTGTGGAATGTCGGTGCTAAAAAGCCCCAAGGCCCGGAACCCCGCGAACAGCGCACTGCCGGTGCGATGCCCCGCGCCCCGCTCCATCGCTACTGCGGTCCGGGCTCCTCTGCGCTCTAGTCCCGATGGAAACGGCGGACCTTACCCTTCACGGCCTCCCGTAGCACAGTACTCTGCCGGGGCTACACACTTATAAGCGCTTCCGGTGCCCGCTGCCAATGCCTTTAGGGAGAACTGCTCTAGTGCAACTGAAAAAGAGTTCCCTCCGGAGCTCGCAGGGGAGGCGCGACTTCGGTTCCGCGGGCCACAGTCTCCAGTGCTCCAGCTATACTCTCCAGCTCTGGTGGAACTGGAAGAAACTGGACAATTTTCAGCGGGACCTTGTAGGAGGGAAGCGACAGGGGTAGCGCTACGCCCAGAACGGGGAAGGGAGACCAGAAGTAACCAGATCTTAACACAGATGGAGTCAAGTTAAACGTGTAATTATAAAAATGTATAAAACCATGAGACTGTGGAGAAAATTTGAACCCTGGATATTTGATGATATTAAAAAATTATTGTTAATTTTTATAGGTGATAGTATTATGATTATGCTTTTAAAGATTCTTAATCTTTTATGTATCTATAAAAGTGAAGTGTAGTGATTTATCTGGGGATTTGCTTTCAAAATAATCAGGGATGGAGGCGCCTGGGTGGCACAGTTGCTTAAATGATTCTTGGTTTTGGCTCAGGTGACGATCTCAGGGCACTGGGATCCATCCCCCGCCTTAGGCTGCGTTTATCGGGAGTCTCTTTAATCCTTTCCCTCTCTTCCTCCCCCTGCTCGTGCTCTCTCTCTCTCAAATAAATAAATAAAATCTTTTAAAAAATAAAATAGATAAATAAATAATTGGGACTGAGGTGCAGCGTTTAGATGAAACAGCATTGGTAATTGTTTAATCTGGGGAATGGGTATTTGAGGGTTCATAATATCCTTATGCTTCTGTATAAAATTGAAATTTTCCATAATAAAACGAATTTTTGTTTGCTTTTTACTGAGTTTGTTTACAGTAAAAAAATGTAATATTAAATTTTTTTTACCTCTGGATGCAAATGTGTACAAATTATTTTGATTACTAGATAGACAATTTTAAGAGTTGTGTAAATTGTGTGTAATGCAGATGTTGCTTTTATAATCAGAAACTAAGACGTCTATATATATTGAGAGTTTGGTAAGAAAATTGAAAAAGTTTCTTCAACCAGGACCTAACAGTTCACAAAGCCTTTGACAGCCATTTTAATCCTCAAATCAAGGCTGTGAGGTGTTTAGGGCAAAAAATATTATTACTGTTTTACAAATGAGGAAGCTGTTCCTTTGGGGGTTAAGCAATTTGTACAAGGTTCTGAGATTATTTAGTGCTCAAATCCAGACTAGCGCAAAGGTTAGAAAAGGATGAGAAGGGGAGATCACTGAAGGGCAGCTGGAGGATAGGAAAAATATGCATCCAGCAATCACACTTTCAAGACCAAACCTTGGGCCACAGATGGGTATGGATTCACAATAGATAAGGGACCTGAAATTCCCAGAGACTACCTAATTTGTGAAGGGTCAGTTAATTAATGGTAGTATAGCAATTTGAATTTAGGCCTGACAATCAGGTTTATGTTCTTTAACCTACAACTGGACAGTGAGGCAAAAGTTTTAAAAAACTGGAACCATCATGGAAAATCCAGTATAGTAGCAGTAGATGTGCATGCTAGCTATTGTGCTGTGATTTTTTAAAGGGCAGATGTTATGGGCTGATTGTGAGTTTTCCAGTTTAACAGTTGGCCAAATTTAATTCTTTCCACCAGTTGCCTCCCTGAGTTGCTTGCTATTCAGCCGCCAGCCAAGTATGTGAATGTATGATGGGAGAAAAAACTAGCTCTTACTCTTTTTGCCCCCAAGGATACTAGTCACAAGTTAGAATAAAAGAAAATGTGGATATAGTAGATCATTGACAAATGATCATTTTCAATTTAATCCAACATACTAGGGCTTCACAATATTCAGGTAAATTAAATATACAGCTGTGCCATGTTGTCATTTCTAACTTTTTTTAAAAAAAGATTTTATTTATTTACTTGAGAGAGGGAGAGAGCACGAGCAGGGCAAAGGGCAGAGGGAGAAGCAGACTACCACCCCCACCCCCACCCCACCCCCCACTTTCACCTGCCCCCACTGAGCAGGGAGTCCGGGATCCTGACCTAAGCCCCAAGGCAGACGCTTAACCAACTGAGCTACCCAGGTGCCCCTGTCATTTCTAACTTTTTAAAAAGGGTTAAATATGACTGTTTCTGAGTAGTTGGTGACTTCATGTATTGTGATCACCAGCCTCCAAGATGGCCCTCGGTGATTCTTACCTCCTGGTATTCAACACCCTTGTGTAGTTCCCTCTCACATTAAATAGGGTTGATTTGTGTAACCAGGCTAGGTCATAAAAGACTTTGAAGATTTTGACTTGCTCCCTTTTGGGTCATTTGCTCTGCAAGAAGTCAACAGCCATGTTGAGAGGATACTCAAGGAGTCCTATAGAGCCTTTCACATGGCAAGGAATTGAGAGCCTCCTGCCACCCACCAGAATTACCTTGCTAGGTATGTGAGTAAAAGCACCTTGAATCCAGATCCTTTAGCACTAGTCAAACCTGCAGCCTTCAGATGACAGCAGCCTTGCTGACATCTTGACAGCAACCTCATGATACCGGAGAGATATATACAAATTTCAAAACTAAGAAACTGATTTTCCTAAGAAAACTCTCTTGTTTTACTCCTGTATATCCTCCTCACACTCCTAATATCCTTTATAACTGTATTGGTTAGAAATGTTTGGGTCAGAAGCACAGAGAAACAAACTTTAAAACAAAATGATTCTGCCTAGTCAAGGAGGCAGGGGAGGGGCTGAGAATGTTTATAGAACAAAAGGAGCACTGGCTGTTATACGCAACTAATGAATCATGGAACATTACATCAAAAACTAATGATGTGGGCACTTGGGTGGCTCAGTTGGTTAAGCGACTGCCTTCGGCTCAGGTCATGATCCTGGAGTCCCGGGATCGAGTCCCACGTCGGGCTCCCTGCTTGGCAGGGAGTCTGCTTCTGCCTCTGACCCTCCCCCCTCTCGTATTCTCTCTCTCATTCCCTCTCAGATAAATAAATAAAATCTTAAAAAAAAAGAAAAAAACTAATGATGTACTGTATGTTGCCTAACTTAAAATAAAAAAAAAAAAACTAATGGAAAAATTGGAGAACCATGCTTCAGAAAGGACAAGAACTGGACCCACTCCTACTAACCTTTTCTTTTACTCTCCTTACCCCTGCCACTTTAAGTCTGCTCCTTTTGGATCAGGGAAAGGAAAATACAAGGTAAACATCATATTTGGAAGGTACTCTTGGTAGTACTTGCTTGAGTATCAGATGTCCTCGGTCTCATGCATTCTGACCAACTCTTGGTCTCTCTCAAGATCCTAGTCATTGCAGTCTATTATGACCAGTTTCCCTCCCTAGAGTTCTCCCAATGCCGGAGTCCAGCTCCAGCAGGGAAAGGGTCCTTGAAGGAAAGGACGGCATCGGCGAGTGAGGAGACACGGGCACTGGATCAGGTTGCAAGCATCTCCTACTGATAGCCTCAGGGGGACTTTATTTATACATTAGAATACTTCCTTGTTTTTTCCATTCTTTCATAACATGTGATTTTATTTTTTACATCTTATTACAAATCATCTTAAATCATTTTGGATTTAAAAAACAAAGGTACTAGACAGAGCGTGACCGTGCGAGACGAAGCGTAACCTATCTGCTATTGTGTGCTAATGCAGAAAAAGTTATATTTTTACTCTTGCTGAAAGATTATCTAAAGTTTATTCTTGCGCCCAAGGCAACTTACAATGTGTGCACCCTATCCTATCAAAGTAATATAGGGAGGTCCCTGTACTGTGGGAATGACATGAGATTTTTCTCTCCTAGAACTCTGATGTTTCAGAGGTGCCCGAGGAATCTCATCAATAGGGACTTTTACTGGGCCTGGATCCAACAGCTCCCTTAAGCGAAACTTATTAAAGAACTCTGCATTGCTCATGTTAGATGAATTACGGATTGGAGGACATTGGGTATTTTTACTTCTTGGCCCATCGTCAGCCTTTTTGGAATCAGTTTCATTGTGATTGCTTACATAGGCATAACTAAATTTATAAATCATTTTATCATGAAACCCCAGGAAAAAAAATCCCATGATTATAAAGATTGCCACAAATAAAATGAAAGGAAGTAGCAGGAGCCAGCTGTGGAGTCTCCTGATTTTCAGGATTGTCTCCTATACTTGGACTTTGTCAAACAGCATGAGTAGCTTGGCTCGCGCCATCCCAATGAGAACTTTTTATTTTTTTATGCACTCTGACTCATCTTCAAAGACACATATGAGGATCTTCCAAGTACTATCTTGCATTTCACTTAGGTGGACTTGGGGTGAGCCTACAAAATTCTGCAACTCAATAGAGTCACTTGCTTATACATACCTCTCATCTCTATAATTTTTTGGACGGGGCACAACATTTAGCTTAAGAATTACAGGTATTGAGCAACTCAGGTCCCCCCTTCTTAGTAAGGATTGGTGGGGAAACTACAGCTCTCTCTACATCTACAAATTCTCTTTAAAGAATCTTGTGTCTTTCTCAGGTTGTGATCTGGTTATAGTCACTGGATCAGTCTGGCATCTCTAAAGCAAGTCCTAAATGAATGTGCAAGGTTTCTTTAGACATGGGGAGAGAATGGTTACTTGTTCTCAGTTTTGAGACTTTAGAAGAAGTTTCATTCTGTAGCCAATTGTGTTTCCAAAAATGATTGCAACAATATCACCCATCCTCATGCTCTTAATAAGATGTGATCTTGACACTACTACTACTACCATCCAGTCTTGGGATCTTTATCTCCTCCCCTTTGAAGCTGGGTGAATCTTTTTGACTGCTTCAGATAATAAAGTATGGTGAGCATGTGACTTTCAAGACTAGATCATAAAAACCCCTTGCATTCCTACTTTGCTCTCTTGCAATGCCCACTTTTGGAGTCAGCCTCCACGCAGAGAGAAAGCCCAAACTGGCTCATGTGGAGAAACCACATAGAGAGGCCATGTATAAGTATTACAACCTGTCACCCAGCTGTGGTCTCAGCTCACAATCAGCATTAACCACTAGGCATGACAGTATACAGATGCCTCTAGA